GAGGGTACAGAGGTCGTTGGCGAGTCTTCTACGGGGCCACCAAAGGACGCCGATTCTCACGATCTCTACACTGGGCCCGACGAACACCCACCATCAGATGCACAATATGCTTTTGGAGGCGATACCGAGATTGACACTGAAGTTAATACCGAGGAAGAAGGCAACACGCGCGATGAGCTTAATGCTACCAGCACTAGCACCACCGAGGCGGATGTCGAAGAGCAAGAAGACAGACCACTTGAGCGCGTCCAAGAACCAGCGGTTGACATAGAGGCAGTCACAGGAAAGGATAACATGACTTCGACTCATGAAGCAAGCTCCTCAGAAGTTGTAGAATCACATGTGGAAACCGAACCTGTGCCCGCCGCTGGGGCTGACAACCACGCCAACAACGAGCTTACGATTGCTATGCCTCCTCCCGCCTTCTCTTCGGCCGCCGCAGGCTTGTTGACGCCCATCGGTCGAGAGCCTGAAAGTCCAACGCTTGCGCCACAAGACGCCTCCAATCTTCCATTGCCGTCGCCGTTTCCAGGAGAGCATGAGGCTGATGCTGTGTCTTACTTTGGCGTTGCTACTACTATCGAACAGCCGGTCGAAGCCGATGCTACGGGAGACAAGGAAGAAGATCCACCAAGTGAAGCGAGCTACATCGGCGAGACGTCCTTCTTCAGCTCAATAGGCTCATCGAGAGCTTCGGTGTTCCACCCGAACCACGAGTCGGCCTTCACACCTGTACGATTCACATTCGGCATGGACGGTGCTGGCTATTCTCGCCCCATGGAGCTATCGTCGCCTCCGCCAGAAGCTCAACCAGTCGGGGAGAAAGCTGAGAACATCGACGTTTCAACCTCGCCCGCCCCTCGCGAACACGACGATGGCGATTCGGAAGCAGAAGATACATCTCAGTCACGCCTGAGCACTCCCCAGAGCGACGATACAGATGAGGCTGTTGAAGATTTGACTACTGCGAATCCAGAGATAGTTGAAGACGAAACGGCCGAGCCAGAAGTCGTAGAACTCTCCTCGGAGGACGAAGAAGAAGCCTTGAGTGAGATCGAGCCGGAATCCATGGCAGTCGAATCTATGATGCAGCCCAACACTGCTCAACCGCCTGAAGAAGACCCCAATGTCTCGGATGACATGCAATCTGTGACCGGAAGCCTAGAAGACACCCGTGGCCAAGCCCTGGACACAGGCACACAATATTCCACAGCTACGTCAGCTATCGTCGACTTAGGCTCCCCTTCAGACGACAACAGCGAGATCGACACCAGGCATGAAGAGCAGCAGCCTAGCTCTAGCCGAAGACAGTCTCCTTCTCAGGACCAGCCCTCTGCCATGGATCTTGGTAATCATAGTGAGTTTGTAAACCTGGATTTTGCGACCGCGGACGCACATGCTCTTGATACATCAGAAGAGCGAACAATTACTCACACTAAATCTCAGGAATCGGAGCCTGACGTTGTACCACACCCCACGGAGGAACCGTTTTCACCTGTCGGTGATATGCCAGAATCGAGCTTGGAGGCTACTGACGACTATTTGCAAGACGCATTTCCGATGGAACATGCATCATTCGGACAGGAACATGAGCAGATAGCTGCCTTTGAAGATGACCGTCAATCGGATGTCCACATGGAAACAATAGAAGAGGCCGCCGTATTCCAGGCAGACGAATTGAATGACCAATTAGCGCCTGTCGATACCGCCCAGACAGCTAGTGAGCCTGTGAGCCAACATTCTGACATCGGACCTGAGGATGCCCACAAGATCGAAAGCATGAGTGTTGTGCTTGAGCCACCTGCAAAAAATACCAGGTCAAAAGCAAAGGCATCAGCGCCCCTGGAGAAAGAAGATGCTGCTGTCCCTGAAGCCAACAAACGATCCAAAAGATCTGTGACTTCTCGTGCCCGTTCAGCAGTTTCACCACCCAGAACACGCACTCAGTCTGCCCTCTCTCCTTCACAAGAATCCACACAGACTTCTCCTTATAGTCTTCGTTCACAGTCGAGATTGTCGCCAATGGAAAGCTTGTCAACCAATGCTAGCATCGCTCGTCAGAGAGGCTCGCGCAGATATGCTTCGCAAAGAAGTGTAGACTCTATACCCGATATTGAAGTATCCCAAACGCAGGAGTATGACCGAATTGTTTCGAGCTTCCAGCCGTCGCAGGAGTTGGGTGCCTCACAAGGCACATATTCCGATGTCGCTTTCGTCAAAGACTCTGAAGAAGAGAGCGCACGCTCTGAGTACTCGATATCTACCGTGCATCCCTCAGACATGGAGTATATGCATCACAGCGACCCTGTCGACCGTGCCAATGCTTTTGATGATGAGAATGATGGAGGCTTGAAACCGCCGCCAGCAACTGCGCCAGATTTAGGGCCTTCAACGCAAAAGGTCAGAGGGAAAAAGAACGCGCAGCAAAGCGTGGAGATGAGGAGTAGTAGTCCTGCTCAACCCGAATCTCCGTACGTTGCACAGCTATTGGTCAGCAGTCCAGGTACGCAACGACACGTAGCGCGATCAAAGGACACGATAACTCCCAGCCCACGTAACGTACGAAGAACGAGGAGAAAAGTATATGATCTTCCAGGTGGAGGTAGCCAAGGCGTCGGTGATATTGACGCGCTCATGCGCAGCTCACCACCCGCTTCACCTAGAATCGACCAACGGACGAGACAACAGGGCAAACGGCCCATCACCCCTGTTGCAAGCCAGCAAACTGCCATGGAGTCGCAGCCCAGCATCAACGCCCAACATGAACAAAACACCCTTTTGACGCCTCAGCTCACGCAAACAACATCTGCAGGTCTGCGCTCCGTCCAAGCCGAGGCTGAGGTCGACATGGAAGTCTTGACCGCATCACCAGAGCCCAAAACAACACCGCGCCGCAAACACAGATCGGTCGACGCAGCAACTATTCCCGCATCTCCAACTTTGATCGATCCATCGTCCGACGATGCCAACACTGAGACGCCCGAGCCACCCTCTGTCGGTCTTTCCACTCCGCTAGCTTACTATACTCCTCTAAAGGACCTCGTCTACTTCCTCAACCGCTCCTCCGACTTCCACTCGGCTACCAAACCCGACATACTTGCCCTGGTCACCTCTCCTACTACGCCAAGCGAGAAGGCCAAGAAGGGTCCAAAACACTGGTTTACCAGTTTGCAGATAACGGATGCTAGCTCCTGGCCCGAGACGATAACGGTACAGATCTTCCGCGCTTATCAGAATGCACTTCCAGAGGCGCAGGTTGGCGATGTGGTCTTACTCCGCGCGTTCGCTGTCAAGTCGTTGAACCGGCATCCCATGCTTATAAGCACAGACGAGAGTGCGTGGTGTGTATGGCGCTGGGGTAAACCTGTCTGGGGAGCGAAGAGAGGTGCGTTTGGTGAATTGAGAGCAAGAGAGGAGATCAAAGGACCGGCTGTTGAGAAGGGTGCTGGGGAATGGCGCGAAGTGGAGAAGTTGAGGGGTTGGTTCACCGCGAAGATAAGCGCTGAACTGGCGGAGAAAGAGGTGGCGAGGGTTCGGACGAGGAGTAAAGACAAGGGAAAAGAGCCGGCAGGTGAAGATGCATGAGGGTTTGGGGCTTTTGCGCGGCGTTGAGGAACGTCTCGAGTGTGGCATGGTTATGTTATCGGCGCATGTATAGGATACACTGGGTGTATTACGTTCATGCTCTGGTGGACCACATTAGCAGGAGCAGCACTGCATCACTTTGCAAGTCAACAAAGTATTGAGAGATCATTCATGTGTCTCATTGGTTTCTACCATATTCCTTTTCATGCGATCGTATCTTCATAGCCCACACCTAAACCCTGAAGTCTAGAGCCAGCTTTTCGTCCAGAGCGTCTATGACTACTAGGCCAGTCCGTGGACCAGCTTTCCGTCGCAGAAGCTCGTAGCTACTAAGCTCACTCCATTCCCTCTAGTCTAAATGTATGAGGCGTCTATTTCTCGTAAACCCAGTCATGCTGGGCGGACTTCCAGCTCTGGACCTCACCCTCCTTGAACCAGAGGGCAATCTCCTTCTTGCCGTTCTCGACGCTGTCGGAGCCGTGGCAGACGTTGCGGCCAACGTCGAGGGCGAAGTCACCACGGATGGTGCCGGGGGCAGAGGCGAGGGGGTTGGTGGCACCGAGGATGGAGCGGCCGGTCTTGACGGCGTCACGGCCCTCCCAGACCATGGCGCAGACGGGGCCGGAGCCCATGTCTGGAGGGTGTTAGTGGTGGAACTGGGTATATCTCGTTCGAACTGGCCAACGTACAGGCAATTAGACCGGGGAAGAAGGGCTTGTCGCTCAAGTCGGCGTAGTGCTTCTCGAGGTGCTCCTTGGAGGGAGTGACGAGCTTGATGGCGGCGAGCTTGAAGCCGCGGTTCTCGAAGCGGGTGATGATGGGACCGATGAGGCCACGCTGTTGGGCATTTGTTAGTATGTTTGCTTTTTACATCTTGTTGAGAACCCCGCTGTCTCAGTCGTAACAGCAGAATCATTGCAACAATTGATTCACTATCAACAGCTTGAGAAGGATAAGGATCAAGATATAAGGGAAATACATACCTGAACACCGTCAGGCTTGATAGCGATGAAGCTATTCAACTGTCAGTATACCGTTCACCGCCCTTCAGCTGCCCCCTCGTCTTGGGATCAAGATGCCGAACGTACGTCTGCTCGGTAGTCATTTTGGCGATGAATTGACGTTTGAGTTTTTGTGTAAAAGTGATGTGTCTTTACGACTTGATGAGAGGAAACGAGAAGGAGAGGCGGACGTGTAGCTGGAATTTTATGAAGGGGGTGGGGTATCGACGCCCTCGTTGTTGTCTAGTGGGGTAGCTTGCATAAAATTATGCCTGATTTGTGCAAGAGAGCTGGACCCTGACCTTGGCGCTGCTTCAAAGTCCACATGGCATCTCGAGCGTCGAGGACTGGCCAGTTGATTGATTGACTGGTGATATTCCAGGCTGGCTTCTGTGTATTAGAGAGCTGCCTGTCATGATTACTTTACGGAAGCAGCCTCCCCGGTGGACGGCTGTGTTTTTGGTGTTGGCGCTGTTGGCTTGCCTGTTCGTGCCAGCTGGTATGTAGCTAAGCTCAACCCCGATATCTCCAGCCCACGATGGCCTTCTTTCCGCATACATATAAAGTTACGGGGAGGTTACTAAAAGCTTTTAGTATCGGTCAAGCACGAGAACTTCAAAACATGCAGTCAATCAGGCTTCTGCAAGCGCAACCGCCAGTTCGCCGATGACGTCTCCGCTTCGAGCTCCTGGACCTCGCCCTACGTTCTCGACCCTGCCTCGATCACGTTCAAAGATGGCCAATTAGATGCCGTCGTGCTCAAGACACTGAAGGAAGGCGAAGAGAAAGCTCGCTTGCCGCTTACCGTTACATTCCTCGAATCGGGCGTGGCACGCGTTACTCTTGACGAAGAGAAGAGGGCCAAGGGCGACATCCAACTGCGACACGACAGTCAAGCGCGGAAGGAGCGATACAACGAGGCGGCGCAATGGACTCTCGTTGGAGGGCTAGACCCGTCCAAGGGCGCTGCTTTCAACCCCGAGACGGAAGATGGCTACACCAAGGTTGTCTACGGCAAGGGCAGCAAGCACCAAGCCGTCATCCGCCATGCGCCCTTCGGCATCGAGTTCCAACGCGATGGCGAGACGCAAGTCAAGTTCAATGAGCGCGGCTACATGAACGTCGAACATTGGCGACCCAAGGTCGAGAAGCCCCAAGAGGAGAAGAAGGAGGGCGAGGAGGAAGTCAAGGAGGAAGAGAAGAAGGCTGAAATTCTAGAGGACGAAAGCACGTGGTGGGACGAGAGCTTTGGTGGCAACACAGACAGCAAGCCGAGAGGCCCTGAGGCTGTTGCGCTAGACATCACGTTCCCTGGATACGCGCACGTCTTTGGTATCCCAGAGCACGCGACAAGGCTATCTCTCAAGACCACCAGGTGCGCAGTATCCACACCGTTACACCTACTCAGCTGACAATCTCTAGGGGCGGCGACAATGCCTACACCGAGCCATACCGACTGTACAACGCCGACGTCTTCGAGTACGAGATGGACAGCCCCATGACCCTCTACGGCGCCATTCCATTCATGCAAGCCCATCGCAAGGGTTCCACCGTCGGTGTCTTTTGGCTCAACGGTGCCGAGACCTGGATCGACGTGACAAAGAAGAGGAACACTGCGAACCCGCTCGCTCTTGGTGTTGAAGGTCATACCGATACTGAGACGCATTGGATGTCTGAGAGTGGTCTGCTGGACGTCTTTGTCTTCCTCGGACCGACTCCTCAAGACCTCACTCGCCAGTATGGTGAGCTGACTGGTTACACGGCTATGCCCCAGTCCTTCGCTATCGCCTACCACCAGTGTCGATGGAACTACGTCACCGATGAGGATGTCAAGGACGTCGACCGCAGGTTCGACAAGTTCAACATCCCGTACGACGTTATCTGGCTTGACATTGAATACACACAGGAAAAAAAGTACTTCACCTGGGATCCTCTGACCTTCGCCAATCCCGAAGGCATGCAGCAGCAGCTCGACAAGCGTGACAGGAAGCTTGTTGCGATCATCGACCCTCATATCAAGAATACGAACGATTACCCGATAATCGACGAGCTGAGGAAGAAGGACCTCGCTGTCAAGAACAAGGAAGGTAAGCAGTACGAGGGTTGGTGCTGGCCTGGCTCATCCATGTGGATCGACTGCTTCAACCCGGCTGCCATCGACTGGTGGAAGGGCTTGTTCAACTATGACAAGTTCAAGGGCACTGCCCATAACACCTTTATTTGGAACGACATGAACGAGCCCTCGGTGTTCAACGGCCCGGAGACAACCATGCCCAAGGACAACTTGCATCACGGTAACTGGGAGCATCGCGATGTTCACAACATCAACGGTATGACTTTCCACAACGCGACATACCAAGCCATCACGGAGCGCAAGAAGGGCGAGGTTCGCCGTCCCTTCGTGCTAACCCGAGCTTTCTACTCTGGTAGTCAGCGTACTGCTGCCATGTGGACTGGCGATAACCAGGCTGAGTGGAGTCATCTTGAGGCTTCCATCCCCATGGTCCTCAACCAGGGTATCTCCGGCTTCCCCTTCGGTGGTGCAGATGTTGGAGGTTTCTTCGGTAACCCAAGCAAAGAACTCTTGACTCGCTGGTACCAGGCTGGTATCTACTACCCATTCTTCCGTGGCCACGCTCATATCGACACTCGTCGTCGTGAGCCATACGTCGCTGGCTCTCCATACACGGAGATCATTACTCAGGCCCTTCGTCTTCGTTACCAGCTTCTGCCTGCCTGGTACACTGCTTTCCATGAGGCTCACACAACTGGTGCGCCTATCATCCGACCCAACTTTTGGGTCCACCCTGCCGACGAGCGTGGTTTCGAAGTCGACGACCAACTCTATATTGGTTCCACTGGTCTTCTCGCCAAGCCAGTCACAAAGGAGGGTGCTGACAGTGTGTCTATCTACATCGCGGACGATCAGCCCTATTACGACTACTTTGACTTCACCACCTACAGCGGCGCTGGTCACCACACTGTACCAGCTCCTCTCGAGAAAATTCCTCTTCTCATGCAGGGCGGCCATGTCATTCCACGCCGCGACCGTCCTCGTCGTTCCTCTGGCCTCATGAAGTACGACCCCTTCACTCTAGTCATCGCTCTCGACAAAGACGGAAACGCTGCCGGCACCCTGTACGTTGACGACGGCGAGACCTTCGACTACGAAATGGGTGCCTTCATCCACCGCCGCTTCTCCTTCGACGGCACCCGCCAGATTTTCACTTCGTCCAACCTCGACTCCAACAAACGTACTGTCAAGTGCGAGAAGTATCTCAAGACGATGGAGAAGGTGCGCGTCGAGAAGATCATTATTGTCGGCGCACCCAAGGCTTGGAAGGACAAGTCTGAGGTCGTCGTCATGCAGGAGGGTGAGAAGGAGACGCAGAGGAAGAAGCCCGTGCCGCTTGAGTTCCATGCTGCTGAGGGTAAGAAGGCTGCGTATGCGGTAGTCAGGGACCCGCGGGTGTTTATTACCAGAGGGTGGAAGATCGATTTCGCGGAGAAGGGTGCCGGGCACGAGCATCATGGCCATGAACATTGAGCTCTGGTGTATCTAGATGCAGGGGAAGCACGCACTGCAATAGGGAAAGGATCGTGAAATCTGAGATGAAACGCAATCTGTATAGAATTAAGGTTACGAATACGTGTTACTCGCGCATATGAAGGCATGTTCATCAGCGTGTTTAGTTCTAGCCACTCCCTTCCGCACTGCTCGGACGCTTTCGTGACAAGGCAAATACCACGGCCTCTCGCTCTGATCGGTGCGTTCTGTACGGATAACATGCATAACGGAATATGCACCCTCATTCGCTATCCGTTCCAATCTCAAGGTCGAACACTAAGCCATGGTATCAATCGCTGGCACTTCGCTGCGTCCCTTGCCATCTGCCTTTTTCCACACGCCATGTAGAGTACCGTCAAGCCCCACATCCCATAGGAAGGTCCAATTTGGGAGGACAAACTCATCGTGTGGATAGTGATCGACGAAACTCTTCGCATCTTCTTCTGAGGCCCAGAAGGACATTGTTCCAACCCGCTGAGGGTTCACCACCCTTGTCCTGAGTTGGTCCCAAATGTCATCGGCAAGCCGAACCACACGATGTTCATCCTCATACCAGACCTGCAAGTCTTCCGGAAAGCCATAGATAATTGAAAGGCTCGCAAGATGGAGTGAGAAGATAGCCGTGACTGTGTCGAGCTGTCGGTCGGGGTTTGAGCTTTTTGTCGGTATGACGTGCAGGCGTACGTGCTGCATTTGCGCGAAAGTCTCAGGTATGTCGAGGTGGGCATCTTGGTGCTGATCCTGGAAGGTTTTGAGATAGGCTCGGAATATTTTGGCGCATTCGCTGTCCATTTCAGATCGAATCTGGCGACAGGATAGGTAGAGTCCGATGTAGGAGGAAAGAGGTGCTATGTGGGGTATAGCGATGTAACCGTATACTTGGTTGCGCAATTCGGCGGGCAGGTCAAGAAACGACGACATCTTGCACTCGGCTTTGGAAGACGCGTTTGGAGTGCTTGTGGTGGCTTGGAAGCTGTTGTTTGTTGGTACTTGGTGCTTAGTGGGTGAGTGAGTGAGGAAGTGACCTAGATATGAACAACGCGTACTAGTGCAGAAGGCGCGCTTGTGTCACCTTCACATGCGATGACATCAGCGCCAATCGCAGGTTTAGTGCAAATTTCGAAGCCGCTATCACGCACCATGGCTACTTGAATGGCTCATAGATAGAGCACATACCTTGTCTGACTCCTTGAACGCTGTTGGTCGCACGACGCTGGAGCCGTGCCGGACCTCATTGGAGAGAACATGTCGTACAGGGCAGGCACCAGACTCAGATACCAGCGCACGGAGTTTGAAACCTAGTTCAACATCAGGACGCGAAGTACTGTTCTCCTGGTACGATGCCCTCTACTGTGTTGCTCTCAAATAACTCGTTAGTGAGTACCTTATGATACAGCGTCGACTGATTCTCCGTTCTTAGCGTGTGGTGTATCATGATTGGAGGTCATAAATGACCCATTTGACTTCATGTTACCTTTGAGTCGACCACAATGAAGGCTAGAGTCAGAGAATGTCACTACCAGTAGCATCAGCACGGCCGTGACTGTAATCATTACTCAGAACGAATATAAAGTCTCTAGATGAGCTATAGGCTTGCAACAACCATCAAGCATTACTTACAGACAACGAAGCTAACAGTTATACAAACCTTTCCCTACGGTACATTTAATCCGCTCCGAGTCTACACACGTTTCGCATAAAGACGGACAATACCACCACAAGCCCTCCAACATCCATCATGGATGAAATTGCCTCAACAGCCAATGATTCGGAGCCAAAAAAGCTTTTTGAGGAGGCGGACAAAATTCAGAAAACACTCCGCAACATTCTTGTCGACTTGAAAAAGGACGTCGATGGACACTGTAAAGTCACAGTCCTGAGCCCGGCCGAGAAAATGGTAGACACTATCAAAGATACGCTCTCCACAAGCAGGGTAAAGAGACGCGAAAAGTCGATCGCAGACAAGAAGAAGGACCTCCACAAGAGACTCTTTGGAGCACTGGTCATAAGCAATGGAGCGCGGGAACCGATGTCTAAATACAAAAGCGCCATTCCCACTGAGGAAGCCAAAGCGAAACACATGAGAATTGTGCGCGATAATATCGATGCGATCAAGCGACTGGAGCTGAAGTTGGCAATGGATATGGACGTGGGAGGCTCACCATTGGAGAGTTTGTCACAAATGGCATTGGCATGGGAAATTTCAAGATCATTGGACGACCCAAACGAGCCAGGAGAACTCATGTAGTCAAGTCTGTAATGTCGCAATACTTGAGTTCGACAATAGCATCTTACCGCCTAGCGACGCTGGCGCGGTGCTATGTAAAATCAACAAGCCTATTTCCAATGGCGACGAACCTTGGAGGCTTCCTCTTTCGATTATCATGCATGCCTCTTTGTGTGTAGCAAATCCTGCGAGGTGTTGTGCTTCGTGCAGTCTCGCGCGATCCGACGATTTGGCAAACCGACGATGTGTGACGTCAAAGTGAACGAAGTCATTGGTCATTCGCTCATGACCATATTATGTCACAACCCAAACGCCAGGTGCAAGTAAAATACAGCAACAACGGTTCGCACCCTCCATTTTCCAATTCCGTACCACTTTGGGCGACCTCTACTCCCTTCCCATCTCCATCCAAAGTACAATCGCCATGCCTCAATACCACACCGCGACCGGAACGGTCTCGTATCCAGATGCGAAATCGAGCTTCCCCAAGTTTCCGCAGGTCGGGTTCGGTCGCGCGGTCGCGATCGGTATCGGAGCCGGCTTCGTAGGAGCCTTGGTGTAAGACAGTCGCCACCTAATCTTCTATCTGCAAATGCCTGACTTTCTCCAGCATGTCAGGATCGAACAAAGTCGAACAGTTCTTCACAGGTCGTCCAGACTCCTACGTACCCGCGCGAACGATGGGCAACCATATGGGTGTCTCACCAGAATTTTACCAGCGCCACACTTTCCTGTTGAATCATGCTCATCACTTCGGCATGGGCATGCTTGCTGGGCCTTTCAGAGCGGTCATGTCGTACTACGGCGTCATCGGGCCGGTAGCTGTCTTCATGCATACCGGTATTCGCATCATGCTGGATCAATTGGTGGAGACTACGGCGAATGTTTCCATGGTTCCGTGGACGTGGCCGATCAACGAGCAGGTCATTGACATATTGCATAAGGGGACATATGCGCTTGTCACTGGCTACATATGTGATAAGATGGTTAGGGGCGTTGACTGGTACAATAGCTGATTGCTTTTGTTAGTTCAGCAGTCAGTGAATCTGAAACATGCAGGGGGGCTCGGCGACTTGTTCAAGTCCCATGCTGTAAAGTTCTTCCATATCGCATCCGCAGAGGCCATGTCCTGTCGAATCCATCTTCCAAATACGGACGGCATATTGTCACATACATGATCGGTTAATTAGCAAATGTTGACCAAGAGCTCGTCGCTCCGATATGTGAGCATGTCCATCTTTTCATCCACCGCTGATAAAGCAATTCAACGTTGTCATGAAAGTGTCAAAGTCGGTGGTCACCCAGTGCAATGAGTCGAATACGATGTATCGTGATGTATTAAATTTTATGTGTTGCTTTTGATATGGAGCTTCGCAATACTAAAGCTTTCATGGCATGTTTGGATTCGGGGCTCCCTTGCTCAGTTTGAAATGGCCCGGATGCAAGTTCTGGAAGACCTGAGCGGGATCGTACTTTTTGCTCACAGATACCAGTTTCTTAACATTCGCCGCTCCGTAACTAGCGATCGGATCCATGAACTGCGACGCGTAGTTCATGTAGATGTAGTCATTGTCCACGCCTTTGGCTTTTGCCTCTGCCTTGACCTTCTTGATGATCGTAGATAGGAACTTCAAGATAGTTGCTTCATGTGCTGCGTTGGTGAACGATGCACTCATGTTCATGATGAAGATAGGGCCTTTAGCGGGCGTAAGACCAAGGGCGTTGCCACCGTTCTTCTGCATACCCTTCAGTTGACCTTCAGTGATAGCCTGAATGGAGATTGTTGGGAATGCGCCTTCAAGATCTTGTACGTCTGGGATGAGGTTGTAAAAGGTGTTGACAAGGAAGCTGAATAGCTCGCGATCGACTTTGAACGTGGCGTCCCATTGGGTTTGGAGGGAGCCAAGCGTATCGTTCGGTGAGCCACCATTCATCTTTACGGTAAGCTCGCTGAGGTAACCAATCCCCGTGTCGTCCATGACAGGCGTGAGAGCGTTGATATCATCAAAGACAGAGGCATTGGCAATGGGCTGGGCGTAATGAGTCTGAACGATCGCGATCTTGCCCATCCCTGGGTAGTTGCCAAATGATACGATCTCGGCAGCGTCGGTATCCTTCGAAGAGCCGACAGTAGCGAATTTGTAGATAGCGTCGAGGACGGCTGAGAAGTTGTTCTCTGTGAAAATGCGCTGGCCACCCCACATCTTGCCAAGAGGAAAGGCGTTGAGCTTGAAGTTAGTAACTATACCAAAATTGTTACCACCACCGCGAAGAGCCCAGTACAGATCGGCAAACTGAGTTGGGCTTGCGGTAACAACAAGACCAGACGCAGTCACAACCTCATAGCTAGCAACGTTGTCGCATGCCCACCCCAGCTTGTTCGAGAAGAACGAGATCCCGCCACCAAGAACGAGTCCTGGAACACCGACTGGAGCCATCTAAAACCATTTTAGCCTTTGTCTCCCACACATGAATTGAAGTAACCTACTCTGCCTCCAACAACACTAACACCAGACTTTTCGACACCCTTGTAAACATCGACCCAGCGAGTTCCGGCTCCAACGTTGGCATACTTCTTGTCATTCGACACTGCGACTTGATTGAAACGCTCCATCGAGACCGTGATGCCGCCATCAATACTCGACGCTCCGGCAAAAGCAGCATGGCCACCACCTTTTACGGCGAAAGGGCACTGCGTCAGGCGAGAGAGAAGAACTAGTGAGGACACTTCGATCGTGTTAGATGGCTTGAAGACACATCTTGGGTTCACAGTTCCCTGTTGAATGCTCCAATAACTGCCAGTAAAGGCGTCATACGCGGACGTCTCCTCAGACAGGAGCTTGTCGCCACCATAGATCAGCTTCAGGGAGGAACACTGGGAAGCAGTCAGTACTCTAGATTATGAGCCAAGTGTTCGGTTCAAAGCATACAGCAATAGAGCAACCGCTTGATGCAGTTCTTTCCACCAGACCAGAGAGCTCCGGAATAGCTGAGACATTGACACCGTTGGATATCAAGGCTTCTGTGATGTTGAAGTCTGCGGGTTCAAAGATTCCGCTCTGAGCTGAAACGGCTGCCACGATGGTACTAAGCGAAAGAAAGGTCTTCATCTTGGACGTTGTGCGTAAAGAATGAACGATGCTGAGCGTGATGGAGATACCAGAATGCGGTGTAGTATTAGTTCAATTTATCATTCTGTACTGGAAGATCTTCCGCGGACCACTATTGGCACATCGTGCCCAGGTGCACGCGCAGTTCATCTCGCTTGGGGTTCCATGACTGCGTTGCTGGCTGTGAATGGCTCAATACTAGGGTTGTCGCATGCGAAGCTTAGCATACGTGCGGCGGTGGCAAAGTTCGAGCTTGGGACGCGGCGGAGTAAACCTTCCTGCGGGAAGGGAGCCCTTACTGTACCTACGGCTCGCTTGCATAGATTATATTGCGGCGGCAGGCCCGACTACTTCTGCCGTATCTACCTGTGTCATTGCGCTGGCACCCATCCTACTACATACCGTGACAAGAGAGAACGGTGCAATAATCGACGAACCAACCTCTTCGGCGAGATCTGGTAGCAATATGGCGGGTGATACGGGCGGACTCACGCGGGCAGTCGGTCGGCTGGCGCACGGGTGCGGCATTTGGCGCAGGTAGGTGCACATGTGGGACCCTGAACGCCAAGCGGCGCTTGGCCGGCGAGGCGGCAGCCTGCCGTCCGAGGATGGACGACGTTGTCGGCACCACGATTCCATGCCTGTATCAGGTCACCATCTACCTAAAGGCATTATTAACGATGCATCAACTACTCAGCTCTCGGGATAGCGACTGATGAACGGCATCACTTAGCTACTTCTCTTTCCTCGCAACGATCCTGAGGTCCTTAGGTTCCCGCTTCAATGGATTCATGCCCAGGTGGTAGTGGGCCCGCACTCTACATCTGCAGTATGTGATTTTGGACGCCAGGTAGCCAATAGAATCCGCAATAGAGATCCAGCAATCTGGTTAATGAGTACCCAGACACGCCATCGCAAGTATCATCCCATCCGCCAGGACATGTTACCTTTCTGGGGGAAGTTTTTCTCGCTTCCTTCATGCATTAAGCGCAAAATGAAAGGCCACCACCGGTCGGAAGCCCTACACAGATACGCGGTACAATACTCATCACATACGCTCAATACGGTCGCTCTCAGGGCCCACACGGGGACAATGCAACAAGCCGCAGCAATCTCTTCTACCAGCCTAATTCGGCCTACCCTCCCGGTGTTAGCCTAAGGAAACTCATGTTTATGAGCCTGGAATCCTGCGTTCTAGATCGCATCGTATTTTCGGTTACATACGACGTAGGATGCTTGGGACGGCAAGCCCAAACATGGACAGGGTTTGTCTGTGACACTCAGCATCCTTGAGGAAGGAGTCCACTTGTCAGTTTGGGTCAACGTACATCATCAGGTACCATTGATACCTCATGCTGGCTGTCCCAGGGACCTGGGAACCACGCCGCAGAGCCTTCCAAGTCTACCAAGAACCCCCGACATTTGTATTTCGACTCGAACGATGCTTTCCAGGACCTGTAAATCCGTTTGGTTATCGATTTCTCATCAACTCGAATGTCCGCACCCTCAAAGACACCTATCACGAGGGACGAGCTGGTGCGTGCAAACGCCGCCATGCTCGTCCTGACATCAACGATTGTGTTCTCTCGCATCACACTCCAAGTTTTGAAACGTCGATCATTCGACCTCTCGGACTTCTTCATCTACTTTGCTTTCGCTTTATTCGTCTCAATGTGGACATGCTATCTGATGGCAGTTTGGCCTATGTTCCGGGTGTTCGCAGTCCTGGGAGGCCTGGCCGAACCCTACGCGACAATCATAGAAGATACCGCGGCTATGATAAGATTCATTGTAGCAGGCCAGATGTGCTTCTACACACTTCTTCTTTCGGTTAAGATGTCTTTGTTGACACTCTACCGTAAATTGCTGACCGGTCTTCCTGGTGTATACAAGAAGATATGGTGGGCTATCGTCTCGTTTTGTATGATCGTAAGTCATTCTTCTCACATTGGTCTCGTGCCCAAGATGCAAAGGCTTACTTCCGAAAGTCATGGATTGGCAGTGTTTTCAGCAGCATTTTTACGTGCGACAATCTGAAGACCAAATATGCGCAAGGCAGATGCGTTGGCACCCCAAACGAGAACGACAGAATCATTTTCAGTCTTTATTTTGCATACTCGGTAGACGTCGCTACCGACTTCGCGAGTATGTTGAATGAGCCTCGAGCATTACACTAAGCGATACTGATCGGCGACAGTAATGTTTCTACCAATCCGACTGACTTGGAATCTCCAACTACCACGTAAGCAGAAGATTGGCGTCTTCGTGCTGTTTGGTAGCGGCTTCATATGTATCGCTTTCGCCACGCTTCGTGTTGTACAACTCGGAGTCGACGGTCGTGGCAGAGCGACTACACCTGAGCCTAAGTGGTTGTTGCTTTGGACTGTTGTAGAGTGTGCTATGGGTATGCTCTGTTTGGAGGCCTGGAAAATGTAATCTGTACTAACAATATCTCTAGCTGTCATCATCGGATGTTCACCCGCCTTCGCGATACTGGTTCGCAAACGCTCGAACGCGTCGAAGCCGTCCTATAACGCGCAAGGCTATGTCAAACAAGCGTCCGACAATATAAGAATGAAGAGTATAGTCAGCTCATCGATACGACCGCAAGGCGATAATCGAGATCTCTTTTGGGTTGATGCGTATAGCAGCCAGGAGGAACTTGCGAAGAATGCCGGGCGTATCGTGGTTAAGACTACTGTTCATCAAGACGATGAGATCTCAAGTCACGATTCCAAACGTAACAGTACCGGTGGATCATGGGCCGTTGAATCGCCCACCGGGAGTAAAAATGTTACTTGTAGCACGGCTCGCCATTAAAAGGCAATAGAGGTACAACTAGCATGCCGTTCAAAACCTCCACGCCCTATTCTGACCGTGATCTCTGTGAAACATGCCCACAATTACACAAAACGCTCAAAACCGCAGGAAGCCATGTCTGAACTACGCTAGTACAACTATAGAAAATACGCAACTAATCACACGGCCATGATCGACTCGCCACCGTCTTCCGTTATCCTTTTCCGAATGTTGATCTTAAGCAGTTGGCCCGTAGCCTTTTCTAAACTTCCGTCGTCATTCTTCGCGAGTACAGTGCTCGGACAGTACACAAGCGCTTCTCCGGTTTCCAATCCCTCGATCCGCTGCATGAGAGCCTTGTCGTCGTTGCTGTCAAGGGCGCTGACATGTCTCTTGAGTGCGGCATACCAGGTAGGGCTCGTAAAGCGATGAATGACGGTCATGTTGCAAAGCGCAATAAGATCTGTGGACGCGGTCGGTTCTTGAGTAGAAATGATCATACGGGTACCCAAGTGCCGCTGGAAGCGGATCGTGTGGTCGAGACTGTCTGCGAGAAATTTGGATCCTGGACTATCGGACATGTACTAGCATTGTGTTAGCAAAAGCTTGTTGAACGAGGACCAGAATACTATACCTTGTGCGCTTCGTCCAACACTACCATCTTACTCTTGACAGGAGATTCCAGAAAGCGGTCCAAGCCCAGCTTGAAGAGAACACAGGCTGTGCTCGATGACATGAAAGCATCGGACAGATCCATGATAATCATCTCGCCTGGAAGAAACTCTGGCTCCGCCGCCTTGCCGTCCAGATCGAGGAAGGACTCAAGCATCGCTAAACGTTGTTTCAAGGCTTGCGATTGTGCATCGTTTAGATCTATCCGCTTAACTTCTTTGGTGAACAACTTGTAGTCGAGTCGTCCATCTTTGCTCGCGGATGACATTTTCATGAGTACCATTTCGACCTGGCCCATGTAGAGTGGGGGGCTCTTATCTCCAATACCCATCAGTGCACGCAAACCGGTGATGTCGAGAGCCCGGGCGTTGAGTCTGAATGGAATCACGCGGATGTTACGAGAGGGATCCTCGTAACAGCTTCTGATCGCTCCATTGTGTGCGGAAACCAACACAGTGATTCTTCGTACGTTTTGGCCAGGATATTCGGGCTGCGCACGAGCCAGATGCACAGCTTCACTGACGCTGAAACCTGCTCCGCCAGTGCTCCAACTTCCATAGCTGAAGACTAATGCAGAAGCAGGCGCTTCCAAACGGCCGAGGTTCTTGGATGGAATCAAAGCATTTTCGAGCAAGCAAGCTGTAGTATGACTCTTACCACTTCCTTGAACACCGCATATGAATGCGGACAAAGGCACATTGGTGTTGTAGAACAGCTTAACGCCCTGTCCCGCTTCGTCCCGGTGATTACCGATGAAGCCGAATTGCGGGACCAAGTCTTTCACGTGCTGAGCGACCACAGGGGCCGATAGCAACGGCGCGTGCTTGATATCTCTCATAACACCTTCAATAGTCGCATCAGCGTTATCGGATTGGAACTTGTTCGGAACGAGACTGTCCATAAGACTGAGATCCAACTCAAAATCCTGTCGATCACTTTTCGCGGGTAGCGGTAATGAGCGGGATGGCTGAGCCATGCGAACTCCTTGGCCGGATGCTGAGACTGGGCAATTACTCCCTGCAGTACCATTCTTTGGGACTGAAGACGCTGTCTTAGGGAGGGCTTGTGAAGGCAATGAAGATGCAGGCCCCGATGATTTTGGTACAGTTGCCGAAACCTGCGATGCTGGTGTTTGTATTGTGGGGGCCTTTGCTGATGTGCGGGATATAGAGGATGAGGAGACCGGCAATTGCGTCGCTGGCGCTTGCGATGCAGTATTTCCAGATGTTGTGAGTGTTGCTGGTTTTCTTCTGGCCGGTAAAGCTGCAATCGGTCGTGAGTTCGGGCCCGGAACGCCCTGTAATGGAGCGTGGCGAATCTGGGGCTTATCCTCTTCGGCGACAGTTGCTGAGGGCTGATCTTGCGCAGGTTTAGGGAGAACCAATTCGCTAGATGCAGCGAGTGTATTTGTAGGCCTAGCATGTGACGATGATGCTGAAGGGTAGGGAGGTGGTGACGGCTTCGGTGCAGCATCATGCGCTGATGACTCTGACCTGGTGGCGTCCGGATTTGTATGTTCCTTCAATGAAAATTCACGTTTCGTTGCGGTCGAGCTTGGTTTCGAGAGCTCGAAAGGCGGAGTGAATGTGAAATCGTAGTTTCCGGATACAAATAACTTATCAGATGCCCCAAACCCACCTGGGGGAAGAGTCAACGGTGGAAGCTGCGACGAAGCTGCCTTCTGTGCTCTTTCTGGTGAGACGATAGACAGCGATGCCTCATTCTGAGAGTTTGACTTCGAACTCGATACTGATGTGCTAAGAACGCTCCCCATGTTGGATTCAGTGATAAGGCTTTGCGCAACTGTTGCTTCGTCATCCCCTTGAGCAGAGACGAAATCTGATTCGCTATGTTCCGAGTCATTTGACGATGAGCCTGATGAGGAGGCATTGGAGCTACCATCCGCTGGTGGAGTAATTAAGCCTGAAATCTGCTCATCGTTTTGCGCGGCTGTCGGTGGCTGTGCGCACGGCTTTGAGCGTCTCTCAATATTTATCTTCTCGATACTACTCATGTGTTAGCCTGATCACCACCTAGACCAATTTTAGAAACATACTTCAACACGGCCAAATTCGTAGACGTGGAATCAAAGTCTGGTCTCATTCGCTGCAACTTCTCGATGACAGCGTTACGATCGTGAAAACGGCCTGTAGAATCGAGCGGTGCATCCGAGCAAAGCTCCTGTCACTGTTAACAACCTGCAAAAAGAAAAGCACATTCGGTAGACTAACATTGCAGAACTCCTCGCTCAAGCTAGGTCGCTGTTAATTATGTTGACTTAAAGTGATGATACTGTGCTAGACGCAACTTACTCTATAGGCTCGGCTCCAATTCCGCACACGGTCACTGGGTATCCTGTCTCTGTTCTCTTCGTGCGGCCGCCGACATCCGCATTATTGAACGAAGAAGACGTTGACGAAAACATGACTTTATCGTTGCAAGGGTGCTTTTCGACGTCGCTTTGCAGGAGATTTACAACTTTGCTCGAGCATTCAGTGTTGGGGTGGAGAGCGGGGATGAAGCCGTTATGTCAGTAATGTCCTGCACGAGCGCACGCTGAACCAGATGTGAATGTGGGACCGCCCTCGTGTGAAGCAGGTACGGCAAAGAAATAAGTGTCGCGTTCCCGAGGTGACGGTTATCGATTAGCCCCTGGCGCTACCAGAAACCCTGCAATGCACCCCATCCATGAATGTATAGAGAACAATCTCATCAACACTCATTCCTCCTTGCTCTAACAGACGAGCCTCCTGCCTAGCTGTCATTTCACATGATCTCTCCAAATTCTAGCACCGTTTGCGTTTCACCTAGGGATACCTTACGTAGGGATACCGGGTGACCGGCGAGCTATCGCTGTCGATGACGTCATACGAACGCGAGCCTGACGCGTCAAAGAATGCAGGTGTACAGCTGCCAAACCAACACCCGTAGGAACTTCCTGCGCATTCGCTACTCTGCACTCATTCGGGTTTCAATGAAAGTACCGCCGAGACGTGGAAACTTCTAGTCGACGAACGGCAAATCATGTTCGGTCCTTCTCGCAACACCGTAGGCACAGACCCATTCCCGACTATTCAGCTTCATTAACCATGTCATCAAGCATACCGACTCTGCTACATGAACTATTTCGGCCTTGACAGATGCTCCTATCAAAAGTCTGTTCTACTTCAGATCATCTTCGGTCAAATCATGAAGACAAAACCTGGGCTTCCGACGCCGGATCATGCGCAGAGGCCCTTCCTATGGCTTCCCAGTGTCGCTCCGAAGACAGAGTGCACTCATACCGTCTCTCTTTCGTACGTGATTTGAAGCTGTCGCTCTTGCTCTAGCCATAATGCCCAATGCTTCACGATGCACACGTTCGTCAGCGCCTTATCCCACCAATCCATCTCATGTTGATAGTTGCAACCACCTTCCGACTTGTAATCCGATAGTTGGGCTTAGGGAAAAGTACCTTACGACAGATGCAGCATAGATGGCTATTTTCCCTTGCAGCATGGATCCATTGCTCCAAGTGAGCGCGACAATAGCTGTGTTGACATGCTGTGACTACGCCTGGCGGTGTAAGTGCGTCCTGGCACACGGCGCAGTCGGCATCAGTGAGGCCTTCTATGGGAGCTGATACGTTTTCGACCGGGATCGGTTCCCCGCGCCATTCCATCTGAGCGCCGTCTTCGAACGCTACTAAACACTCGTCTCGATTCGTCTCGATGCGTAGTTTTAGCTGCTCTAACTCATCGAAGATATTGAAATTGGGCGGTACGCCGAGAGCCAAAGTATTGCGTTCCACATCAGCGTCGACTTCAGCCATGAGCTTGCCTTCCAGACGGCCGACAAAGGAGGTAAGTTGAACTACTAACACATAAGCTCTAGCGTTACGAGTTAGGTGAATAATTCTGGCTTTCTCATCCGGCCCGTCGGTGTCACTAAGGTCCTGGTACCATAGGCTCTCCATTACCTCTCTGCAACCATCATTGAGCGCGTATATTGTGCTCACTGCCTCCTTTACAGTCCATGACCACTGCTTCTCCGGTAAACAGGCCGCAGCATCTACCAATGTGAGAAATATTATGCCTTGGCGTCTCAACTCTCTACTAAGTCTCTCCAACTTTGCCCAAAATCTGTTGGGCAGTACGCGCTTTGCACTGCGTATGAGAGTCTGGAAGCTAACATCCTCTTCTTCGGGAATTAGTTCGAGCAATACCTCAGGTGCCGCGAAAGTAGATGAGTGGGGTTGTGGCCGAAAAGCAAGTCTCTTCAGGTCAATCCTTCCCAACAGCTCCTTCAAATCGTCACGCACAGTCTCAGGCCGTTGAGGCTCGTTGTCTTCCGCCAAATGCCGATCTGCAGCTGCTAGAGCATCATCCAGGCGCATCGATATGCGGTCATCGATCCAGTTACCGGGCATGCCTGATTGTCACAGAAGTCTTGGTGTGCTGTCGTTATTCCCTGCGGAGTTGATTTTCGTTTGGATAGACGGGCTGAACAGTTGGGGCTAATGAACAACAAGAAGGATAAGTAGGCTCTAACTAGCGGTAGGAATCTGTACAGAATGCACGTGTGCGAAGCAAAAGATGTGTATCAAGTGACCAGGTAGCAGTGAAGATCGGTTGAAAATGAGCAACAATGCAGCGCATTTGCATGTATTTACGTACCCCCAAGGCTATATAGTAAGACTGTTCGCTGTTTCAAGAAACTACAAACAAGGCAGTCTGGCAGCTAGATGGTTCTACATCGATCTGTCGCGAATTTCTACTAGATCGTGAAGAGAACGCCAATGAACTAGACTACAGTGTCAAGAAGCTCATCGGAAATTCTCGCAACCTCAAAGACCACAAACACTACAAAAGATCGTCAGGAAAACACCCAGAAAGAACCAATACGGTGAAACAGCATCTTCATTGTCAGCCGATGTAGCCTATACCACTATCGGACCTGGATACCACAGCTCCTCCTACCACTACTAAGTCCAATCCAATTCATACTGATCTTTATAATATAAACATATTTACTGTTCCTCCAAACTCGAACCCAATCGCCAATAGTTTACGCGCCCTGGATGCGGCGGCAGAGAGGGCGGCCCCTCTCAAGGGTGTTGGGGTCGCAGTTCAATCGGCTGTCCTCGATGCAGGTCAATTGGGCGCCGCCTATGTGTTGCGATTAGCTCCGAACGCTCATTTTTGGATCATGATATCTGGGTTACTCACAGTTGTTGACGCTGTCGGGAACACATCGGCCGCTCTGTCCGTTGACAGTGCACACATCCTGCTTCAAGCTGGTGTTTGCGACACAGCAAGCGCCCTCGGGGACGGGACGGTTGTCGTTGGCGCCTTGAGGCCTGGCAGCTGCGAGGGCAGAGAGAGCGAGGACGATGGCGGAGATGGTGAACTTCATTTTTGCGGTTGAGTTGGTATGTTGGTGGTTGAGAAGGTATCGGTAATAGTGTTTATGTTAAGGGATTATTGATAATGAAGAACCGACCAGCGGAAGGAATAGAATTGAATAGAGAGCGAAGTAGAGAGTAGTAGAGAAGACTGTGGTTGAAGATGCTGATGAGGCTACTATTCGGCGCGGTACCAGGCCTCTCTTATACACGCTGCCTCAGGAAGCTCCGCAGGCGTAGACCGAGGCACAGCGAAGACTTCACGATGCATTGCTCTCCCTGGCCGCAACACCCGTACTGCATCCTGCATCTGCCCAATTCCCTCATCCAACGCAAAAGTTCCACCGGTAGAAAACACACGAGACAAACACAAAACAACACAATCGGTTGCGTCGGCCTGGAAAACACGGCCACGCGCCTGCTTCGAGCATGGCGGAAACGGGCGCGTGAAGAGAATGGATACCTTGGCGCTCAGGCGCCCTTGAAGGCATATCACGATACGCAGATCATACAGGAACGGTCGCTTCGACCTTCTAGGCGCCCTGCGAGACGTTGGAGTGATGGCGGGAGGGTAAGGAGGGATGAAACTGTCA